AATGTGTCGTAAAACTGTGAAGTAACACATTTGTTTGTGTGAAACGCTCAATGAACTACATCTCTGGTCAACCACACACGTCACCAAGATGGCCGTCACTACTGTCTTGTCAACAAACGATTGACTACCCTCACTATCACCACAATGAAACACGTCCTGAAGAATGTCATGCAAAGCTGCCTGCCTGCCTTCCTTTGATTCTCTCTGAACTGCCTGGTCGTTTTAATGTTTAATGTCAACCATTTGTGCAGATAGCATGAAGTAGAGAAGATCGCTAGCGTTAGCGTTAGCATTTCTCCCCCGGGCTTAAATGGTGTATTATAGAATGATCACACCGGTGACAGTACTCTTCAAAGGGTTCACGAAATATGACGACTACTCTTACTGTTTAACATGTTGGGTTACTTAATGTTACTTCATGTTAAGGCTAATACAAATGACAAGGCTGTAATGCTAACTAACGTATAGATAGATTATATCTATATGGCGCTGATCTTAGCTATCTCTTAGTGGAGGAAAACAATTGTGACATCACTTACGCGACTCTGGGATTTGTAGTCTTTCTAGTTACGTATTTTTCATAGTCTTATATTTCAACAGTTTTACGACAAACTGACTTTTTTGACATGGAAATGATTTTTTAAGATTGACAAACATCATATGTGTAATTCATGGCACAATTCAAACGGGATCGAAAGATAAGTTTTCTCTCTCCATTGACTTAAATACATTATTTTTCCGAAATAAGGTCCCATGGGGCGGAAGTAGATGGGCGTGACTTCGCCTCTCTATAACAAGTGAGTAACCAACTATGAGTAACAAAGATCTATTAAAGTGGGTACGAGTAAAACAACAATAAATCACAGGTCAGTTTGTTTCTTTTCTCACAGATTCTTGCGATGTTATAACACACTTCATGTTATACCTTAAGTCATCTGTTTATCATGGATTTAATTTCTTAAAGGTTACATTTCAACCGCCTTAGTACCACAATAGTATACCCATTACACAGGGTTCTTACGGTCATTAAAAACCTGGAAAAGTCATGGAAATTCAAAATGCTAATTCCAGGCCCTGGAAAAGTTATGGAAAACTATATATTTCCCAAAGTTTTGGAAAAGTAATGGAAATGTAACTAAAGTTGCATCAAATATAATTTATATTTTAGCTAATCGCCGAAATAGTAATACTATAATGATAATACATACTGTATCGTATTGTAATGAAACATAAAATGGCATTTAACTGACGAGGTGTTTTGCTGGTGAGAGATTTTAGTTGCTTTAGCGTGTAGAAGCTAGTAAGCCTATTTGATTTGTTTTAGATAGGCACAACATGTTTCATATGCAGACCTTATTTTCCCGTTCCATGTTAAAATAAACCATTTTCAGTGGTACCGCTGACAAAGAGTCATTTTTTTGATCATGGAAAATTAGGTAAAGGTCATGGAGAAGTCATTGAAAATCATTGGTGAAAAAGTGTATGAACCCTGATTACAGTATAAATATATAACATATCGACCAGGTGCAACATTATGGAACAGCTTGTGTCTCTTAGTGAAGTGAGCATGTTCCCTCGCTGTGTGTAAGGACATCCTCCTGCTGTCTGAACACCTGCAGCTCAGGTAACTCAGAAACTTTAACCTATCCCTCAGGTGTGATGGTGCTGAGGTAATCTCAAACTCACAACCATTAACCTTATAAGTAGAAATATCCACCAGATGGTGATGCTATTTTTGAAAAGTTGGAAGGCTTTTGACTCCACATATTTTGTCTCAAACTTTTCTTGAATTTTGTAAGAAAAGTGCAATTACTTCCTTAAAATGTAATAGTTGTAGTAGTTATTATTTCATAGAGTCATTCAATCACAGAAGACATTAAATCTAATCTTTTAACACAAAATATTGGAAGATGGAATATGATAGAAATACAAAGTAGTAAAAGTAATAAAAAAGTAAACTGTAGAAACCAATTTGCAAATCAATTAAACAAAGACATTAATTTATTCATTATTTGAGGTGAGAATGATAAAAAAGAACTATTACTTGGAAAATATCATCACTTTTTCATACCTAGACATTTATTATTAATTACATTACAAATGCTTTACTAATGAACTGAGCATAATAAAAAAAAAAATCAACTTACTTCTTAACCTCCATTCGCTTTCACCCACGAGCGATTGTATGATTTTATGGAAATTGACTTTTGAATCGTGCTTTCTGGGTAATAGTTTCAACTGGTTTAGTATCAGCGCTCTCATGCTGTTAATACAAGTCCTTCATCACCGTTTTCATCGATACATCAAGAAGTATTAATTATTTTTTCCTCTAAATGCCCCCTATGTTCTCTCTTAGAGTTCCAGATACATACAAAACAAACTCAAAATTCAATATATAACACTTACTTACAAAATGCTCAAAGTAGTCACACTTATAATTTGTTAAAACACCACCGTGGCTTAATTAATTAAAACAATGTCGTGTGAATTTTGTTTCATTTGTAAAACATTGAATGTGCCATTCCTTATTTGAAATGTAGTAGTAAGGATGAGCAATATGAAGAAAATAAAGTATTTTGATTGAATGATATTGTATACTTTATGTACAGTACTGTATTGAAATGTATACATTATTTCCTTTCTCCAAATGTCCTCTCTTATACATAATGAACAAACCATCAGATATTGGGTAAAAACTAGTCACAGAGTAAATTCAAACTCATTTAGCTGAGTTTTAATTGAATAATCCATCATTGGGTTTCCCCAAATGGATCCATAGTGTTGTTAGAAGGCTGCTTTGGATAATGGGATGTCTTTACGTGGCCTAATTGTGGCTTTGAAGCTGCCCTCTGGATAAACCGCTTGTTATCAAATGCGGTTCCTGTCTTACTGGAAACCCTCCACGGATGCCAAGACAGTCCCATTCTGCAGCGTCGGATTAATGTTCGGTTCAAGTTCAAAGGCAGAGCCAACCTGGATAAACTCATTATAAAAAACTGCAGCCAAAACACGGCAGGGCCAGACTGCTGCACACGACATGGAGAGGCTTTAAATACCACCTCCATTCTGGGCAGTCCTGTAAATAACATGCAATGGAGCGGGCGGTCAGAAGAAGCCGGGGAGACGTTGTTATCTCGCTGTAGAGGGGATATCTGTGGGGTGTTACAGTCGTCATCCTCCAGATACTTCACTTTCATTGATTTGATGGCATCTTTGGCTGGGAGTGAAATGTGAGCGCAGTTTTCCCAGATGTCACTACACAATGTGACGGTCCTGCTTTCATGCACATTTCCTTTGGACTTTCTGTTGTTTGGAGCAGTTCTTATTTGGTGGCTGTTGTATTTGTATGGGTGTTAGCTGCCCAGTTCTTACTGAACGTCGATACATTGGTGCAGTGATGACGTGTTTTTGTAGGCCGATCCGGAAGTTAGCATCTCAAAGGCTCCATCAACAAAATATTGGAATATTCCACAAATTAAGCTCTGTGGCATAATAATACTTACATGTTTTTTCAGCATAAATCACATATTGACACCAACTTTTATGATTCATTTATCCGTAAATGCAATCGCCAGAAGGAAAAAGCAAATGTAATGCTGTCAAGGAACTACATTACTGTTGCACGAATTCCCTTCACCACCGCTAAGCTAAATGCAGCTAATGTTCGGCAGGATGACGTTTAGTAGTTTCATTTTTCCCATTCCTTCATTTTTGTTTTATGAAACATAGAAGTGTCAGACATTCACACGTGGGGCATTTACTTCCTTGATGTAATGTATTCAGCTTGTGTTAACCACAGACCTTATTTCAGGCCATTAACCGGAAAAAAACAACAATGACTTCGAGACAAGCGAACAGATAGTGCTGGAATGCTAACTCATTTCCAGGTTTAAGGACTCATTCCTGCCCCGCTCTGTTCCAAACTATTATTTTTTTGCTGCAATGGAAGATAAATCACTTCCTGTATGGCAAGATGGTCAGAATAGAAACATGTCAAAGCGGAGTGAAATCAATAATAGCTGTAATGATTATATTACAAGTCGATTTGTTGATAAACACAATAATAAACAACAACTATTCTCATAATAATCAATAAAGTGATTTTCAGGCAGAAATGGCTAATGATGGCTAAAATCTGATTATTGCAAATAACATTTTATTTTGCCAAATTTAGTTCACAATCTTGAGAAGCATTCCCAAATAAACAGGTCACTTGGGAATGTCTCTTCATTGTGTCATGTTTCACTGATTTAGTTTCAGTCTTTTCACTGTTATAGGTCACACAATGAAATGTTTTTATCCACACATCTGGTGTGGTTTGGCATTTTACTGAAGCAAAATACTTTATGCAAACAAAACCCAAAGAGCATACTTCCATTCTCTGGGTCTGATTTGTCATGTAGACTGCAAAACCAATTACTCATGAGTAATGTTACTTTTATGTTGCTCTTTGGTTGACGTTTCTCTGCAGGGACGTATGTGGTTTTGACATGATGATGCATCGTAGAGTAGACAAACATCTGGATGCAATGCAGACCACTTCCTGAGGAGGTCTGAGTAATCACATCAGTCCATCAGAGCATCATAAGTGTGCTTACATCTGGATTCATATGCCATTAAGCGTGATGGGACAGCTATCCAATCATCAGTGTCATATTTATGCAAGGTGTAAACTGGCTGATAATCACTGAGCAACTACTTTGTGTGTGTGTGTGTGCAACTGAACTGCCTGTGTGTCCACGAAGCTGTCATGGATTTGAATGTCGGAGGGCTTGTGTGTGTGAAGCTCGATTCATATCAGTTTGAGTCTTTGTGCATGACTGATTGCTTTGTCTGCCTGACCACAATTGAAAAGGGATCCATCTCTCTCCTCTTTACTCCCTCCCTCCCCTTCCTCTGTGTGTCTCTATCTACTCAGTTCCACCTTAAGAGGAGCTTGAGCAGCCTGTCGTGTTTGTGTTGAAGCCAACAGGCACAATATATTACAGTCTAGGGCTTGCTGCTGAAAAGCCCGCTGGATCCTCCACTGACCTGCTGTTCTTTCCTGCTCTCCTCGCGGTTTTTTTCCACATTTAGATTAAAAACAAAGCCCACCCTCTCTATCTCTCTTTTCTCCCCTCCCTCCTCTCTTCTTCTTTTCCTCTTTTCTGCGGCAGATTCAGTGTGTGAGAGAGAGAGGCTGAAGAGGAGGGAAAAAGCAGAGACTATTTGCACGGAGCTGAGTGTGTGTTTATGTTTGTATGTCTCTCCATTGGTCGGCTGGGTGAAGGGGCACCAGGAGGAGAGGGAAGCCTGCCTGGATGAAATTCTCGGTGTCACTACGTGTGGACCTTGACTGATCCCAGGGTGAGGAAAAGGGAGAGAGACACTGAGGAGAGGTGGGGTAATTGAGACTTTCACTGTGAGAAGAAGAAGAAGAAGAAGAAGAAGAAGAAGAAGAAGGAGGAGGTCAAGTCTGGTGCTTCGTTTTATCATGACATTAGTGGGAGAGCGAAGCGACGGATTGAGCGCTCTTCAGTTGTGTGTCAACAGGAATTCGCCCTAGAAAAGAAAAAAACACAAGACTCTGGAAGTAGACTGCTGCCTTCAACCCAGCTAAGGAGCAGGACTTACAGAGAGTGTGTGTGTGTGTAACCGGTGGAGGGCAGAGGAGTGGAGGGCCAGGGGACGAACCTGGCCATCAAACGGACTGGCAGCCTCCCCTCTCCTGGGATCATGTACCCTCAGGGCAGGCATCCGGTAAGTACCTCCTTATGTCTCTTTCTCCATGTCAGTCTCACTCTTTTTCTGTCCGTCTGTCTGTCTCTCTCAACTCCAACCTTGTCAGTTGTATCTCCCCCTGCCCTCTCCATTCTCTCTCTGCCCTCTCCATGCCTCCCCGCCTCTCTTATCTTGAGTTTTCCCTTCGTCTTACTTCCTCTTGTTTTTGCGCGTCTTTTTTTCAGCTTGTCCCTCTCTCTTGTTTAAATATAAGGATTGTACTGTAACATGAGTAGTGAGACGTGAGGGGAGGGGGGTTGTTAGGGCTAAGAGATTCCCTGTTACGCACACACACACACACACACACACACACACACACACACACACACACACACACACACACACACACACACACACACACACACACACACACACACACACACACACACACACACCCTCTCTGTCAGCTGCACCCAGGTGCCTTTGAGATCTTGTTGATGGTTAGCCGTGTAGGTGGCACTTAACTGAATCTGCACTTCTCAGTGTGTGTGTGTGTGTGTGTGTGGGTGGGTGTGTGGTGTGTTTGTGTTCCTCTATTAGTGTTTAGTTGGCTCTAGTGGTTGTTTCGTACGTGACCCTGTTTGTGTGTAACATTTAATAGATCTGTGTATGTGTGAAAAATTGGTCAGTACAACTGTCAGCTATCCATTTGCTCATTTTGTTTGCTAAGGATACACTTGTACACACACACACACACACACACACACACACACACACACACACACACACACACACACACACACACACACACACACACACACACACACACACACACACACACACACACAGGCTGATTAATTGATTCATTAAATTAATTAACATTTCCTCAAAGAAATGGACGTTGAAGCACTTCCTCTTTATTTCCTCTTCAAAGTCCCTTTTCCTCCTTCAGTTTCCTCCTCAATCAGCGGTGAGAATTGGCCGTTAATTTACCTGCCAGGCTAAAATAAAGGTTAAACACAGACTAATAAAAAGCACAGAAGGATGAATGACAGCTTAGCCTCAGTCTGGCTTAGGCCATTCGTTTCACAGGGGCCCCGATCCGGTTGCTATAATCAGATTTGGTTGTCAGTGTCTTTGTATCTGCTACAAATGGGTCACTGGCCACTTTGCCTCTCAGCCAGCCAGCCAGCCAACCCCTCACTCAGTCAGCCAGCAAGCCAGCCAGCTAGCTATCACACAGAATTATGAATGACATTTTCACAAGAGGAAGTCATGAGGAATCAATTATATGTACAGAGAGAATGCTAATAAGTCAGCCGCTGGAAGAGGAGAGAGAAATTGAAGCTAAGAGAGAAGTGAAAAAAACAAAGGGGAGAAAGTGTAAGATGTAAGAGCCAAAAAAGAATTCTGTAAAAAGGCAAGGCCGGGGGTTGGAAGAAAAGAGCGTTAAGAATCCTCTGTTCTCTCCTTTAGAGGCGTATCAGAGCGCTTCCCGCTGCGATGCTCTGCGTTAGTGATAAAGTTTAATCGCGGATACAGCCAACTCCAACCGATCAATAGCCTCCATCTCCTTCTGTCTCTCCTCCGTTTCCCTCCCTCCTTCCTCTGCAGCTCTCCTCTGCCAGGGGAACTTTATTTCTGGTGTTGCCTTGAAATGTGATCTGCAGAGAGGTGTGAGGGTGAAAAGAACTGTGTGTGTGTGTGTGTGTGTGTGTGTGTGGTTACAGACTGTGTGTATGAGCATTTACATACATGTGTGTGTTTGTCCTCATAAATGCAGAGCCGAGTAACTTGTAAAATATTCAGAGCGTCCAGGTTTTTTTCCTGCTGGAATATAACGGACCGTCTACAAAAATCTTGGAGGTGGGCGTATCTGAAGCTTGGGGATTTTTTGCGAACAACCAATCACATGAATCTCCCGCCCGCGACATACGAAGCAAAAAAGCCCGAAGTAAACTGGATATAAACTCCCCAAACAGGCGAAAACCTACCACTGTCTCTGCCACCTCCCTCCATGCCTGGCTCCTCCGGTTTATATCCCGGTAGGTAAATAGGGACTGGTCATAAAGCACCGGGTGATTCCCTACCGCTAATTTCTCCTCCATTTTTTGGAATATGAGGAAATGACCTGCGGTATGTCTCTCCCAGCATACACGCGGTTTGATTGGCTAGAGCTTGAACTGTCAGATTTGCATACACGGGATTTGATTGGCTGACGCTTCCACCTCAGCTTCAAAAGTTGAACATTGCTCAACTTTGAATCCTGAAAATCCTGAAAATCTCCGCTCGCCTGCCCACAATGCAGTTCGGCGAAAAGTGAGGGAAAGTGACGTCACCCCATTCAAAGTGAATGGGCAGAAGCGTTTCAAGATTTTTTTAACGCTGCTGTGGAGACGGTCCGTAACTCTCCTTGCTGGTGCATTCAAGGAAAATCCAATGTTTCAAAAATCATAGTTGGCTGATGGAAAGCATTGCATTTAAGGAGATGATGATGCCAGTAAATGAAATCATATGCCACTCTATAAGCACACCTGGATATTGTTAAAAAGGCAAAATGAGCTGGTGCTGTTAAGAATTTTAACCTCAATCTTTCATTCATTAAATCTATGATGTACAATGTGTTGGAGCGCTATTAGTTTTAGTTTTAGTTTAGTTTAGTTTATTTATTTTTTTCGAGCGTGTAAAACCAAAGAAAATACAAATGAAACAAAAGGTGATACAGACATGATACAGTACTATACAAATGAATGCAATAACAAAACGAAACATTTAAATAATAATTGAATAATCTGCAGTATCATTGTCTGATATCAATAAACAACAAAGCTTTAGCTAATTACACGTCCGAAAAGACGTCAAATAGAAGCGCGAGAGTAACAAAGTGATGCCACTATTTTACAGAAGTAAACAAAGGAGTCCAATTGAGGCCTTTCAGGTATGTGTGTGGAAGAGATTTAAACCATTGCAGACCTTTTTCATGCACAAAACCTATATAACGCACTCGAGGAAAGGGAAGCCCCAAAACACATAACATGGCCCCTTTAAGGTTACAATAACCCATGTGAGGATGGTCTGCAGTTCTGTGAAATACATGTGGTTTGTAGTTAATCTCTTTCAAAGATCTGATGGTACTGTGCACGACTACACATCTGTCGTCTAACTTCCCAGTGAACAGGCTTGACTACTCAGCCTTGATGTGTCCTTGTTGGAGTCAGTCAAAGATCACTTCCTGTCAGAAATAGACGGACAGAGCTGCCTTCATGTGCCTCTGGAAATGATGGGGAAGGTGTCTCAAGGCGGCTCAGGCTGCGATATTTTATCAGAGAAGAAGTCAGACTTTGTTCTCCTCGCTCTCTGGCAGGAAAAAGGTTAACGCTGATGGCTGATTTGCCAGCCGAGCGGAGCTGTAATTGGTTCCACTGGATTTTTGTGGCAAACATTATCAGAGCTGTGAGAATGTGTGCGATTCCTTTTTATGTGTCCTTGTCTCTTTAGTGCTGTGTGTATGCTTTTTGTGTTAACAATGTTTGCTGTTGGCTTAGATGTTTGTAAATGTGTGTGTACATCTCCTGTGTAAGGCTTTGTTTTATGTGTCTGCTTGTGCCCTTAAGTGCAAACTGTCTTTGTGTGTTAGTATATGTATGTCTTGGTGTGTGTGTGTGTAAGTGTTTCTATTTGTCCTTGTGTTCCCGTTAAAGGGCTTGTGTGTGTGTGTGTGTGTGTGAGCAGCTGTTAAAGTGTGTGTGTGTGTTTAGACCTGGGGGGGGGGGAAGGGGAAAGGAGAGCAGGGTTTGTGTGCACCGTGTGCCAACAACAATAACAATAAATAATGTCCCAGTCCGACCTCGACGCTGCTGTGAATGTGCGAGCCCCTGATTGGCTGCCACTCCCCGGCGAGGAAGAGAAAGAAAGATTTACTGTGTGTTGTCATGGTAAACAAAGATCTCTATAACTGCTACATCATTTCACACATATATTAATTTAAGGGCTAACTTCGTAACACACAAACACACCTCCTATCAAACATGGAGGTTTCTTTCTGCTTCACTCCTGGCATGTCTACAGGTCAAAGTTAAGCAGAATTCAAGTGTAAGGTGTAGCAAAGCCCAAATGTAGTGTCCTCAATCTATACACGATACACCTATTGATCATCTGTCTGTCCTGAGAGGGGGGTCCCACCTCTGATTATTTGATTTTTATCCTTGTTATTATGGGAATATTTTTTTTTCATACACATTTTTGTATGTGTGTTTACTTATGGTTCCCAAATATATATTGTTTAAAGATCGGCAATAACGTTGTATTGATATTTTTAAACAAAAATGTAGTCAGTAGGCCCTGTTCTGCTGTCTGCATGTGTTGCTCCCACAGTTGCGTCATTGTTTTTTAATGCGCAATCGGCCTTGAGAAAGTGCGACTGTATATCATGCCCTTGATCCTTGTTTCAAAATATGCTGTTTTGGGTCCTCGAATTTGAAGGAACTAGGCTTGGAAAATCCTTGAAAAATCCTTGAATTTACTGTTTAAGAAGGTCTGGAAAACTCTGATCATACAATCTTTTCTTAGCCCTAGAAGTTGGGATGGCGGTAGTCTCGAAGATCAAAGTTAGACGTTCTCAAAGCCAGCGATAAAGACCGATTTGAAAAGAGATGGAAATCTGAACTTGGCTGCTGTGTAGTGTTTAGCAAGAATAATATATGACAACATAACACTGTGGATAAACAATCAAATCTGCTCTGATCATTTTAGTACATCATGCATGAGCATCATTCAATCTTCGTTGGAAATATATGGTGACAATCAAGCATCTGTTTAATTATTAGCAGGAGTGTGTGTGACCACGTGAAAAAAGAGTAGAAGAAATGAGAAGTGTGCCAAGTTTGTGCAGTACAATCTAAGTAGCTATTGGAAAAGTGTGTGTGTGTGTGTGTGTGTGTGTGTGTGTGTGTGTGTGTGTGTGTGTGTGTGTGTGTGTGTGTGTGTGTGTGTGTGTGTGTTGTGTGTGTGTGTGTGTGTGTGTGTGTGTGTGTGTGTGT